ATTGATCTTCTCTATCAATATATATTTTAAATTTGAAAATATTGTGTTTGTATTCATCCCTCCCCTTCTACAAACTGTTTCTCTTCTTGTAGACCCTTACGGGACCAACACTTTCTGACGAGTAACAATTTCATTGATGTAGATCTTTGCAAGTCTTTCTAATGGATAAGTCTCATTGATTGGTAGAAAGTGCGCAACTTTGTCAGACGATCTACAATAACCCAAATGGCATCATATCCTTTTGGAGTTCGTGCCAGTTTCGTTATGAAATTCATTGTGATATGATCACATTTCTACATAGAAATTTCTAAGGATTGCAAATTCCTATAGGGTCGTTGATGTTCAATTTTTACCTGTAGACACGTTAGACATCGTTCCACGTACCGTGCAATATATTTCTTTAACCCCGACCACCAATAGAATGGTTTTATATCTATGTACATCTTATTGGTACCTGGGTGAATTGAGTATCGAGATTTATGATTTTCATCCAAAATTAACTCACGGTTGTTTTCGACACGAGGCACCCAGATTCTACCTTGGAAACATAGAATTCCACTATCGTTCTTTATCAGGGTTGCTAACATACCTCCAACTCTTTCAGCTTTGATATTCTCCTCTTTAATCGCTTCGTTCTGACATCTCAAGATCTCTTAAAAATGTTAGGGATTAAGTTTGCTCGTAATGCAGTGACTTTAATTGTTCCACTCTTCTCTTCTTCTTTTTTTGAGTGCGTCAGTCATCACATTTGCCTTACCAGAGTGATAGAGAATCTCATAATCGTAATCATTCACCAGTTTAATCTATCGTCTTTGCCTTATATTCAATTATTTCCAATTAAACAGATGTTGAAGACTCTTATGACCAGTATAAATCTGACATTTAGTCCCCAACAGATAATGTCTTCAAATCTTCACAGCAAACAAGACTGCTACAAGCTCCATATCGTGTGTAGGGTACTATTTTTCGTGATCTTTCAATTGTTTGGAAGCATACGCAATAACTTTTCCTCGTTGCATCAATACACATCCCATACCCAATTTAGAAGCATCACTGTAAACTAGAAAATCTGTTGACCCATCTGGTAACGATAATATTTGAGCACTACATAACAGATCTTTTAACAACTGGAAGACTTTAGCTTGATCTTCTCCTCATTCATACTTAACGCTTTCTTGTCAATTTAGTCAAAGGTGCAGTGATCCGAGAGAAATCTTGAATAAACTTTCTATAATACCCTGCTAAACCCAAGAAACTGCAGATCTCGGTAGGTATTCTCGGTATTTTCCATCTATTAATGGCTTCAATCTTTGCAGGATCAACTTTTACCCTACTTTTGAAACAATGTGACTCAGGATTGAACTTCTCTTAATCAAAACTCACATTTTGACAGTTTTGCGTACAACTTCTCCCTCTATAAAAGTTCGAGAATGAGACAAAGATGTTCAGTATGCTCGACTTCCAATGTGAGTAAATAAGAATATCATTGATAAATACAATAACAAATTTATCAAGATATTCCTTACATACTCTGTTCATCATATCCATAAACGCCGGCTAGAGCATTAGTTAATCCGAACGGCATAACCAAAAACTCATGATATTTATATCTAGTTCGGAAAGGAGTTTTAACGATATCTTCATCCCGGACTTTCAATTGATGATATCCCGACCGTCACTGAATTTTAGAAAAATAATTGGCTCCAACTAACTGATCAAATAAATCATCAATTATTGGTTAAGGAATATTTATTCTTTATGGTCAACTTGTTCAATTCGGGATAGTCAATACACATTCTCATCATCCCAACTTTATTTTTGACAAATAATACTAGAGCACCCCAAGAAGATGTGTGCGGTCTGATAAAACCTTTATCCAATAATTTCTATTGTATATACAAATATTTTTATACTTGTATTTATCTATATAGAAAGATTTTGTTCTTTGTTGTTTTTATATCTATTTTCTATTGCTTCCAAGAATCGTGACGTAATGAATTTCTTATCCAAATTCTAATTTCTAACTAAACAACCATAGTCTCAAGCAAAACATCTTTGTTCTTATAGGGTCGGATTCCTATAGGAATGAAAGTTATGGTGAGAATAGTGAGAAGGAATCTCCATCATAGGATCAATCTTAATTGAAAATCAATACTAATGAGATGTACTGAATTAATTCACATAATAAGCATAATTCATGGGGTGGGGTTAGGATTAAAAGTGATCAAGAGTACATATCTCTTATTATAAAATAATTTAAATATATGATAAATAAACTACTTAATTTGGTGAAAGAGGAAACATAGAGCCTTCTTTTACATGTGGTCATTATTTTGTTTGTTTGGTCCTATTTACACAATAATGTCATGAACATTGCATAGTATTGATCAAATTCTATATAATCGTGATGTCCAACGTACAACTAACTGGTTCTCGTCAATGTTAATATGTCATGTGCAAAAAGGAAAAATGACGTGGTTATGTTGTGGCTGATTACAGACAACTGGTATACAATTTTCTTTGAAGTATATAATATTTAAATATGATAAATGTATCAAATAAGCTCACACTGTCTTCATCTTTAAAGATGTTAGAACTGATTAACTTTGGGAAACAAACTTTGGTTGGTATGTGATATTAAAAGACGTGTATCATAACGTACTGGCTCATTTATTTTCTGATTAAAGTTTAATTATTAATACAACATATTTTGATTATAAATTTTAAATTATCTGGTTTTAAATTTTGCTAAATTATAATACGGATGGATATATGGAATTTGATTGAATTCATTTGCTTAACCCTAACAACCTTAATAACTCTATTATTTATTTGATATATATAACTGATTCTTGACTTTAATACTGATATCTTCATGAAATAATTCGTTACATCCTTCCCAATAAACATTTTTTTAATGTGTCTCATTAGACTTCACTGAAACAGAAAGTCATATTTAATGGGAACAAGTTCTTTCGACATACATGATCTCAAAGTGAAAACTTTTAACATTTTTCATAAAAAAAGTATATATTTCAAAACATGAGGGACTGATTTGCAACTCACATATAAGTCAAGGGTACTTAAAAGACAATAACACAAAATGAGGGCATATGATATAATAGGTGATTTGGTTATTGAGAGAAGTTAGAAAAACATTTCCATTGCTATAAACTACGTTCATAAGAAAACCGCCAAAACCACCCTTCTTCCGCCGACCACCACCGCCCCCGTCGCCGGAGCTACCGGTCATAAGTCACGAATCTAGAAAGCATAACTCATTTATATACTCCTGTTGAAAAGGGAAGCGCGTACGGACATATATAGAGTAAGAGATCGAGTTTAGAGGGGGAAAAGGAGTCTGTTTAAATAATCTCATGGCATGGTTGAGTTGCAGGATTGGAAGTAACGGTGACGGAGTCATTGTACTGACTCCGAGGCAATGAAGATTATGCGATCCTGTGGTCGGTATCTTCTTCTGCTTTTGGTCCTTTTTATTCAAAAAGGTAATAGTTCTGCCCTTTTTTTATATATTCACTTATTTTTATGCATTGATTCTTACTTGAAACCTATTAGCTTGACGTTATAATTGATGTTACTTTAATTTAGTGCGCATGATGATCTGAGTGATTCAGAGGTGGGTTTGTTTGTTTCCTTATTTTTTGTCTTTATTTGATTGGTTGGATCGGCGAACTCACCAACAGTGACACTTATGAAACTTGTGTAACTGGAACTGAATTTCAGATTTTACATTTAAATCGTTGTGCCGAGTTCGAATCCACCTCTCGCTGATGTTTTTGCATAGCGTTTATGCACTATTTTGTAAAAAAAATTACAAAGCGATTTTTGGATTTGCGTTTTAGTCGTGACCGGAATCATTCTGACACTTACAAGGATGAACTTCACAGAGGAGGTTGTTCAATCTTTACTTGAAGTATGTAATGGCCACGGGATTTTAGGAGAAAATTACTTTCATTGATTTTAGGTTTTTAATATCCAGGAGCTGACTTCACTTCTTGTTCCTTCTGATTATCAGGACCAAACAAATTCTATCTTGCCATCTCAAGTCAATCTCACGAGCATCTTACCCATTGTCAATTGTAGAACTGTATATGCGGAGGTTGAAGATATTGTTTGGTTTTGTACTGCAAAATTGATTGTTGGTTTGTGGATTTCTTGTTTACTTGGAAAGATTAGGAGCAATTCTTTTGCTGGTATAAGAAGAAAGTATATAATTAATGACAAGAGAAAGTAATGAGATACTTTTTTAGGCTTGTCATTGCTTGCATTGCCAGTGTTCTGATGTCGTATTGAGAACCTGAAGTGTGGTCTGTACATGCACATTTATGTTTTTTTTACACGTATGATATTGTGAGGCTTGTGTATTATCTTCTGATCTAATGGAGTTCATTACCTTGAATTTACTTCCTCCATCCCAAAAACCTTGGTCCACTTTATAAATTTTCTTTGACAAAGAAGATCCTGTTTGAATATTTAACCTTACAAGTACAAGACAATTGGATGTTGCTAAAATAACCTTCATTTCTAAAGATTGGATATAGAGTCCTTTGTTAATTTGTACCTAATGGTACTACTATATGTTGCATTTGTTCAATGAGCAAGCTTGTTGTTCCTTGTCCACATGGTAGCAGAGATCCTACCATTTGTGATTCAAGTCTTATGGTAGTTTATTGATGAAGCAGATGATGTGAATCTCATTGCAAATCAGAATCATGTCTGATTCACCATCATACCCACAAATTGCAGCATTATACAATTAGATGAATTTTACCTTCCTTCTACTACCTTTGTTATTTCTTGTAGTGTTTAGTGATCCGTTACTCTTATTAGCAGCCACATGACCAGAAAGGCTTTTTGATTTATATTTGGTGAAGTTGTAATTTTGGTTATGCATCGCCAAAAGCATAGTTGTTGTGCTTTTATATGTGAAAGCATAAGATGTTTGTTTCTTGTAGAGCTGAGTGGTATCTATAATTTGACTCCATTCACAATTCATGAAAGTAGTTTAGCAATTATAATTGACAACTATGCTTATCCGTGTCACAATTTAACACTACTATGAATTTTCATCCCTTGATATTTTTCCCAGGCTATGTGACAGCTAAAGCTTTCACAGGGACCTATGGTATAAACTATGGAAGAATAGCAGATAATATCCCTTCTCCTCACGAAGTTGTTACTCTACTTAAAGCTTCTAAGATAAAGAATGTGCGAATTTATGATGCTGATCACAGTGTTCTTAATGCATTTAGTGAGAGTGGGCTAGATTTGGTGGTTGGACTTCCAAATGGATTGGTGAAAGAAATGAGTGCCAATGCCGATCATGCCCTGAACTGGGTTAAAGAAAATGTTCAGGCATACTTTCCCAAGACACATATTGTTGGCATTGCTGTGGGAAACGAAGTTCTGGGAGGAGGTGATCTAGATCTTCAAGAAGCTCTATACGGGGCGGTCAAAAATATTTACAAAGCCACACAAAAGCTGCAACTGGACGATGTGGTTCAGATATCAACTGCACATTCACAAGCCGTTTTTGCTAATTCCTATCCTCCATCTTCTTGTACTTTTAAGGAGGATGTTGCTCAGAACATGAAGAAGTTATTGGATTTATTTTCACAAATGGGTTCCCCATTTTGTTTGAATGCTTATCCTTTTTTGGCTTACATGGGTAGTCCAAATGAGATTGACATAAACTATGCTCTTTTTAACCCAACTGATGGAATATATGATGAGAAAGTAGGTCTTCATTATGACAACATGCTTGATGCTCAGATTGATGCAACTTATGCTGCTCTCGAAGATGCTGGATTTAAGAAGATGGAGGTTATAGTGACAGAGACAGGTTGGGCTTCTCATGGAGATCCAAATGAGAGTGCAGCAACACCAAGAAATGCAAGGACTTACAATTACAATTTGCGGAAAAGGCTTGCCAAGAGGAAGGGAACTCCGCGAAGGCCGAATTTTATATTGAAGGCTTATATTTTTGCTCTGTTTAATGAGAATTCAAAGCCTGGTCCAACTTCTGAAAGGAATTTTGGACTGTACAAACCTGATGGGAGAATCTCATATAATATTGGCTTTCCTGCACAGAAGTCTTCGTCTGCAACTTCATCTCTTTTATCAGTAAAGGTATGCAGCTCATCTTATATTTGCAATATCTTCTTGTTGGTAAGTTAATGATTGGTTTATGCTTGTTTTTGTTCCCTAATATTCCACAAGTTCTTTGACATATGATTATAGAAATTTGGCTAAAACTGCCTTTAGAGAAATATAAATAATAATAAAGTTTTGTGCATCAATGAAATCTGTAACTAAGCTTTCTTAACCTTTTCACAAGCCATTGTCTAGGTAAGTGTTGACTGAAGATGGTTGTTTACCAAGTATTTGGTTAAGCATTGACTGAAGCACCGACCAAATCAGAAAGCAACTCCTTCCTTGCTAGGTCAACATATTTGTGGGTTATGGTGTATTGGTACCCTAGCTGGTACTGACCGAATCAGCACCGGTCAGCAGTAAGTAAACAGACCCTTAGGGACCGCTTACTAAACGCTTACCCAGTAAGTGCTTACCGGGTCATTTTACGTTATTGAATGAACATGGAAATGATTGAAAATCTTACCTAATAAGAGCAATAACAGAGACCGAGAGTCTTACACGGTAAGTGAGAGTAATAACTCTTAGCCGGTAGGCGCTTACCGGATAAAAATTCGTTTTAATTGACTAAAATCTTACTCGGCAAGTTAAGTGAAAGTGATGAGTTTTAACGGTAAGCACTTACCGGATAAGCATCAGGTAGACGGCCCCTTAGTCTTCATACATGGCACAAGAAGGTACAGAGAGTCCACCACATGAATCCACTGTCAGATCCGTTTACCCTTTATTTTGCTCTAGCTTTATGAGATCTATTTGGGGTTCGTCCACCTAATGCAAGAAAATAAGCTGCGATCCTGTAGAAGCCTCTTTACTAGCCTTGCACCAAACATTGTGGGATCTTGAAAACCCAATTCTTATTTGGTAACTATCGTGTGGCAGTTCTAAGCCTTACATATGTGCTTGCTGACTAGCTTTATGGCATGTTAAAATTTATGAATTCATGTGTGCAAACAGCTGCTTTATAATCTACTACCGGCATGCTACATATATTTGATAACACTACAAGCACCCTTTAATGTAATCGAACGTTTAGAGTTGTTAAGGGTGCATTTGGTACGCAAGACAGAACAAAAATTTGTTGTCTCACGTTTGGTCCGACAATTAGACTTTGACTAGACAGGACAGGAATGAGTGAGACAAAAATGGTTGATATTCCTTGAGAAACTTGATGGCATGGTTGATATTCCTTGGTAAAGAAAGTGTGGTTTGAAGAATGTGTCTGATAAAGAATGGTGCATGCTTTTATTGTATCAGGATTTTGGAGGCCAACAGCAGCAATGGTGGTATGTATGGGTGTGGAGTATGTGTGCATCAGTGCTGTTTCTCTTTTCAAGGTTATGATCCTTTTTGTTTTTCCTGTCTGTATAATAAGAAAACTACTGTATGTAGGTTTACTACAGATATAATTATTATTGTTACTATTTTACCCCTTTCATCCAATCACATGTTTTTGACAAACACCAAATTGGGATCTCTTAATTTGGGACCAAAGCCACGCCTTTTATTCTTATACTTGTTTGGAAATGGGTGATCCTACACTTCGTCCAAACCATCTCATCACAACTTACTAAACTCATGGCTTGTCGCAACTACTCCCATCCCATAGCCCTAAGGTAAATGTTATGCTGTTAAAATCGCGATATGATATATCGGATATCGGTCTCTGAAAAAATATCGGTCAAAATATTGGTTCCGATAATGTCGCGGATATTTACCGATATTTTGATGGAAAAATCGGTCCGATGTACCGATTTTCTATAAGGCAAATGTTTGGGTTTTTTTAATTACATGTTGGGCTTAATTTTTGGGCCTCTTTATTTGGTCAGCCAGTCAACACATATATTAGGTCCCACGCTTCTTCTTTTCTCGGTTCTTCACAGTCGCTTCTTCTCTTCTTGGTTCTTCACAATCGCTTCTTCTCTTCTCAGTTCGCGCTTATTTCTCTTCTCGGTCTTCTTCATCTTCACGGTCTGGCTTCTTTATTTGGTCAACTAGTCAACGTATTAGATGATGTTGACTTGGATGCCGAACCTACTGCTTGCGATTAGCTCGTTTTTTTAACATTTTTCTTATTTTGTTTTGTGAGACTTGTTTATGTGATGTTTTAATTTTGAAACTATATTTAATTAATGCATGATATGTTTATGTAGACTTGGGATCACGTGAGACCAGCTTTTTACATTGAAACTTCACAGCAAAATGCTGTGAAGGTAACCTTCACAGTTTTTTTGCTGTGAAGGTAACCTTCACAGTTTTTTTGCTGTGAAGGTTCGACTTTTTTAAACCTTCACAATGTTTTTGCTGTGAAGTTTCAAGTGTAAAAATGTGGTCTCACGTGAACCTAACCCTGTTTATGGATGCATACATAATATATATATATATATATATAATTCTAAGAAATATTATATTAACTGTTATTTTGATTCGATGTATCAATGATATAACCGAAATATCGAATATCGGTCCTGACCGATATTTTATATTTTGACCGTAGTATTAGTATAGGGTAAATCTCCGGACTCCTGGTGGGCACAAGCAATATGTAGATGGCCGATGATTCTTATACATCTAAAAGAACTCCCTTTTTATATATATTTCATGTGTCTTTTTTTTGTACGTCCGGTGCTCATAAGCACGTAGGGTTGAATCTAAACCCATTGACAATTTACACACACATCTTGGTTTCAACCAAAGTTCTAAATGACATGAGTTGTGATCTGGTACCGGAGTCAAGCTTCAAGCCTTAGGAGTCATGATAAGGTCACGATGTTTTTCAAAGCGTGAAATATGCCGATAAATCTGTATATCACATATGTATAAGTATATATACACATGTTTTTTTACTATTACTTAATTAGTCAATGATTTTAAACAATTTAAATCAAGTTATATGCTAAAAGCTAAAAAGTAAGACGGAATATAAGAAAAATTAAATATTGTGTTACAAAAATCATACATTGAGCCTTGTCATGTGATAAGTTTAACTTGGTGTGAGATACGAAAAGTTAAACATTGTTTCAACCCAAATCTGGTTGGTTCGATGTCTGTTAAATGAAATGATCACAATCTTTTCTTTGAATACAGGCCAAAACAACTTACTCCAACATATTTAACCTAGGGTGTAAATAACACGAGACAACTCGTGAGCTACTCGAGATCGACTCGGTTAAAACTTGGTCAACACTCGAACTCGACTCGACAACATAATGAGTCGAGTCAAGTTACCCAATACTCGACTCGAAAAGCTGGTGAGATAATTTTCAAAGAACATATGTGAACAAAGGGGAAAAAGGTATTTAGATAATTTTTTTTTATGCAACTCCCATATCATTAATTGGGAGTTACAAAATCAAAAAATCTCATTATTTTTATTAATTTATTTTTGTTAATGTAAGAACCATAAGAACACACACACACATATGAATCATTGTGTCAAATACAAACAAAAATTGACATATATATGAACTTAGACTGTATAGCATTTATGAACACAATATGAATATAATAAGAATAGTTGTTACACGAAAGTAAATAAATAAAAAAACAGGTATGAACACAATATGAACAGTTT